TGTAGTAAAGTTGCCCCCAGCCGCTCGCTCCTCCCTCACCTGTCTTGGCTCACCGGCCAGATCAGGTTTCTTGAACAGGGCTGGCAGGCAACGTCACGTCAAACAGAAGCAGGACAAAATCACACCGGTAGAGCTGCCACCACTCCTCGGTTCCGGGGAACCTAGAGTCACAACCCAGGGAGAAGGCTGTGCCCTGTTGTTACTGGTTACCCCCCACTCCACAAGTTGAATCCACAAACTTGCAGACAGAAGTTTTACGGTAGAGCGTAACTAAGCGTAAGGCTAGGACTTAGACTTTCCCCCCGGAAAGGCACACAAGCCAAAACAGTTTCTTAATTAAAATTTATTTTAAAAGAACATATGAAAACATGCTAAAATAGCAGGCACATCTTTAGTAAGTGTCAGGGAACTGCCATCGGACGGAAGGGAGGTGAAAGGGCTCACACAGGTTGGGAGAGACGCAGCAGCTGAAGAGGAAACCAACAGGGAGGTGAAAGGGCTCACACAGGTTGGGAGAGACGCAGCAGCTGATGAGGGAACCAGCCGGGGGAGAGGAGCTGAGCTGGAGGGATGGCTCAGAGACACTTCCAGCGAAAACAGTGGAGAGGTTTCAGGACCTCCTGTAAGAACACCCACTCCTCGCCGGAAACTGTCACGCAGAGATTCCAGAAGACGTGTTTCCGTTAAGGAGCTTTTATGTTGGAAGCGATTACGAAAGCAACCACTGTCGGAATCTGCTAGTGACTAGAGTAGCCATGTCTGAGGGGCTCTGTCACAGACAGAGGTTTGTGGACTTGAACAAACTCTGAGGGGATACGATTTTACGCACAAGCAGCTCATCATCCCATCACAGCATTCCGACAGTCTTTGAAAGCAGCTTGTGCAGGAGAAGGTATCATGAGCAACCCAGCCGGAACCGGAGAAGCAGGAGCTGGAGCGGGTCCAAGCCTGGAAGAAAGGTACCAGATGTTGGAGGTCCAGCTAGCGATGCAGACGGCGAGGCTTGGAGGAGAGGAGGGCTCAGGATGCAGACAAAGGGGGAAAGCCACCCAGTTCGCCAGAAAGGTACCAGGATTGGTGCAGAAGTTTGGGGGGGAGCCCAAAAACTATCATGGTTTTCGGACAGAAATGCAATATGCCCTCAATCTGCAGTTTGATGAATTCCCTGACGAGGAATCACGAGTGGCTTTCGTGATTGAGCATCTTGAAAAGGGGGCGAGAGACTGGGTTAGACCCCTGATGGCAGCGAATAGTGACGTCTTAAAAGACACGATGAAGTTCTTTCGCGCCATGGATCTGATGTTTTCCAGCGATATTGAAAAGGGAGTGGTGCGCAGACAGTTAATGGGTTGCAAACAGGGGAGCCGATCTGTCCGTGAGTACTGGACTGAGTTCACCATGCTTGTTCACAGATTGGGGTGGGACTTATCGGCGGAACCCATTCAAATGCTCTTTGAAGAAGGGCTTTCTTCGGCTGTGAAAGACGAACTTTCCCGGGCGCCCAGGGGCGGAGTCTATGGACCAGCTGACCAAATCAGCGCTGGCCATAGGAGCGCGCCAGGAGGCGAGAGCATTGGAGAGGCGGGAAGGGAAAGGGGAACGTTGGAAGGAGTTCCGCATTCCAGACATTCCAGAGCCAACTTTCCCACCGGCAGAGCCGATGGAAATCGGAACAGCGAGCGCGCGCAGCTTTCAAAGCCCAGTGAGGGGGCAAAGAAGGAGGGAAAAGGCGCCCGGAAATGCTATCTCTGCCAACAGCCAGGTCACTTTGCCAGAGTCTGCCCCCAGAGGAAAGAATGGCAAGGGATGGTAGGGGCTGTGGATGGAAGAGAGGAAAATATACCGGAGCAAGTAAAGCCAACGCCTGGCTGCCACTGTCAGGGCACAGCAGCCAGGCCAAAGAGCAGTGAGAGTGCCCACGCCAGAACCTCCTAAACCCGCCCTAGTGATAGAAGTGACGCTAGAGCTGCCAAACGGACACCCTCTAAAGATAAAGGCGCTGTTGGACTCAGGCAGCTCCTGCAATTTCATGAGCAAAGAGTTTGCAGCTGAACACCAGATACAGACAATCCCTTTAAGCAGCCCCTGCAGGTGACCACGATCGATGGCAGGGAGCTGTTGGGTGGAGAAGTCAGCTTGCAGACCGTCCCAATGATAATGAAGGTAGCAAGGCACACCGAACTGATAGCTTTAATGTGGCCACCTTGGGAGGAGCTCCCATTATATTGGGGATGAGCTGGCTAGCGTTACATGATCCGCTGGTGGGCTGGCATCAGAGAGTGGTTTCTTTTGGTTCAGCACATTGCTTAGAACACTGCAAAGAGGGAAAGGGTTTGGCAGGGGTCCAAGCCACCCTAGCAGGGACTGAAGTAACAGAGAACGTGAAGGTACCACGACAATATGCAGATCTCCGTGACGTCTTCAGCGAAAGGGAAGCTGACCAACTACCCCCGCATAGACCCTTTGACTGTCAAATCAACTTACCCCTGGAGCACAGCTCCCTGTAGGCAAGCTGTACGCCATGTCAGACAGAGAGATGCAGGAGTTAAGAGAGTTCATTGACAAGAACCTGAAGAGAGGGTTCATCAGAGAGTCCAGGGCGGTGGGGGCAGCCCAGTGTTTTTTGTGGATAAAAAAAACACGAACAAGCCGAGGCTGGTGTGTGACTTCAGGGCCTTAAATGCAGTGTCAGAACCAGTAGCCTTCCCTATGCCCAGGATTGACGACGTGTTGGTGTATTCTGAGAATGAGGAGCAGCATGTGAGAGACGTCAGAGAAGTGTTGAGCAGGCTGCAAGCCAACCAGCTGTGGGTGAAACTGGAGAAGTGTCAGTTTCATACCAAGGAGGTGGAATTCTGGGGTATCGCCTGTCAGACAAGGGATTGGGCCATGGATCCTGGCAAGGTCCAGGCTGTGCTGGAATGGAAAACACCCAAAACAAAGAAGGATGTGCAGAGGTTCCTAGGATTTGGGAACTTCTATCGTAAGTTCATCCGAAACTTTGCCCACCTGACGGCGCCCATTACGGACTGTCTCAGCAGTAAGAAGAAGTTCGTGTGGACTGAGGAGGCGGAGCGAGCATTTGAGGAACTAAAAAGGGCCTTCGCCCCGGAACAACAACTCCTGCATGTGGATTTACAAAAACCGATGAGAGTGGAAACTGACGCATCAGACAGAGCGATTGGGGCGGTGCTTCTGCAGCCAGGCAAGAAGGGGTCAGAGTGGAGACCGTGTGCCTTTTTTCGCGAAAGCTGAACAAATCCGAGAGGAACTACACGGTGTATGACCGAGAACTACTAGCCATTCATGAGGCGTTCCGGAGATGGAGGCACCTGCTAATTGGCGCACAACATAAGGTGCAAGTGTGCACTGACCACAAGAACCTAGAGTATTGGAGGACGGCACGAGTGCTCAACCAACGGCAAGTGAGATGGGCCCAGGAGTTCTCCAAATTTAACTTTGAGATTAGTTACGTGCCAGGCCCAGAGAACATTAGGCGGACGCCTCTCACGCAAACCTGAATATTTGGAAGGGGAGGGGGCACCCGAAGAGAGACATGTCATTCCAGAAGACCGCTGGGTGTGTGGGGCGGCATTGGTGGGACAAAGAGAACTGGTAGAGGAAACAGAGAATGATGAATACGCCCAGAATAAGCTCAGAGGTCTTAGGGGTGATGGAGAGGAACCAGGGGTTTCGAGGAAAGAAATGGAGCTTTGTATTACAAAGGGGCACTGTATATCCCTGAAGGAGAGTTAAGGGGAGGGTACTCAAGCAGTTGCACGACAGCCCTACGGCGGGGCATTTTGGACAACACAAACCATGTGGTTGGTCACCAGGGAATTTTGGTGGCCTAAGGTGAGGGAAGATGTACGTGAGTATGTAAGAGGGTGCGAGCAATGCCAGCGAGCCAAAGGGGAAAGGCGGGCGCCGGCGGGGCTATTAGAACCCTTACCAACCCCAGAACGACCTTGGGAGGCAGTGTCGATAGATTTTATGACTGATCTGCCGAAGTCCAAAGGGAAAACAGCCATCATGGTGGTGGTAGACCTACTAACAAAGATGTGCCACTTTGTAGCTTGCTCGCATGCAGTCACGGCGGAAGAGACAGCGAAGTTATTTGTAGAAAACATTTTTAGGTTGCACGGGGTGCCATTGAGGGTGGTCTCAGACCGAGGAAAACAATTTACTTCCAGGTTCTGGAGGAAGCTCATGAGCTTACTGCAGGTGGAGGTCAACTGTGCGACTGCCCGGCACCCTGACACCAACGGGCAGGCGGAAAGAGCAAACGGTGTCCTCCAGCAATACCTGAGGTGTTATGTCAATGACAGAGAGAATGACTGGGTAGAAAAGTTGGCGCTGGCGGAATTTGCCTACAACAATGCCGAGAATGTGTCCACAGGGATGAGCCCTTCTTGGCTAATTATGGGTGTCATCCCAGGGCTTTCCCAGGGGGAGAGGGGGAGAGATGGAGCGTCCCGGCAGCCGAGCATTTTGTGGAAGAAATGGAAGCAATCCATCGTCAGCTCCAACTCAACTTAGAAAGGGCGAAGGAAGAATACAAGAGGCAGGCAGACAAGAACCGAAGGGAAGGTGAAACCATAAGGGTGGGAGATAGGGTGTGGCTGTCAACCCAAGGGTTGCCGTTCAAAGGAGGTTGTAAGAAATTAAGACCCAGGAGGTTGGGTCCCTTTGAGGTCATTCAACAGGTCAACCCAGTGGCTTTCAGGCCCGGTTACCCAACCACATGAAACTGCACCCAGTATTTCACAGGTCGTTACTGTCACCGTACGAAGGGGGACGAGAAGGGCTGGCCACTCGGGGACCGGTCGTAGAAGAAAGAGAATGCAGCAGCCATGTGGCAGAAATCCTCGACGCCAGGTGGAAGGGGGATCAGGTGGAGTATTTGCGAGCGTGGGCAGGAGAACCGGAGTCAGAAAACACTTGGGTAATGGCTGAAGATATCAATGACGAGGTATTGATAGAAACGTTCCATCAAAGGTTCCCAAGGAAACCTCAGCCTGTGGAGAGGTTCCGGAGGGAATACTTTGGGACCACTGATGAAGGGGAGGAGTTGGAAGGATTCCCGGACTCGGAAGGGGAAGGGGAGATGGACTCTGAGGAGGAGGTGTACTTCGAGACCAGGAACCGCAACAGGTTGAGAGAAGTGTTCGAGACATCGGAAGATGAAGGAAGTTCATTCCGGGTTTTGCCTCCTCACCGCCCGTAGAGGAGGGGGCGAGAGGGGGTGAAGGGGGCCCTGGAGGGGAGGTGGATGTCAGGGAACTGCCATCGGACGGAAGGGAGGTGAAAGGGCTCACACAGGTTGGGAGAGACGCAGCAGCTGAAGAGGAAACCAACAGGGAGGTGAAAGGGCTCACACAGGTTGGGAGAGACGCAGCAGCTGATGAGGGAACCAGCAGGGGGAGAGGAGCTGAGCTGGAGGGATGGCTCAGAGACACTTCCAGCGAAAACAGTGGAGAGGTTTCAGGACCTCCTGTAAGAACACCCACTCCTCGCCGGAAACTGTCACGCAGAGATTCCAGAAGACGTGTTTCCGTTAAGGAGCTTTTATGTTGGAAGCGATTACGAAAGCAACCACTGTCGGAATCTGCTAGTGACTAGAGTAGCCATGTCTGAGGGGCTCTGTCACAGACAGAGGTTTGTGGACTTGAACAAACTCTGAGGGGATACGATTTTACGCACAAGCAGCTCATCATCCCATCACAGCAAGTTACAGACAAGAAAAATAAAAACATTGTGAAATCTAGTTAGCTTGCATACTCACAACTAAAGTACAAAAGAAATAGATAGAGTCCTTTCAAGGTTCCGCAGTTCAAAGGCTTTCGCAGATCTCCAACACAAAGGATGTAAAGACAGCTACTTAGATGGAACATTAGCAGCCGGGCGATTTGCGGATTGCAGAGCGCACTTTCTCAGCCATTTCCCAGATCTTTTAACCCTGATTCACACGTGGCGTCGGAACCCCAAAACCAATCATAACTCTTGATTATTTTTAAATTCTCCAATGACCGGCTTGTGGACTAATCAATCTAACTTCTGGCAGCTGGGCCAATTAAGAACCCAGAGCCTCAATCAAAGGTTGTCCTCCCTTCCTTGGCGCCTCTGCAGATGCACATTCCCAGGCCATTAAGGCCAGATAACATCACTAACGGAATGCGCAGAACTTGGACCCAGGTGTCAATTCACACCCTGGGTGCCTGTTAGTCTGGGGTTAAAGGGACAGAACTTATTTCCCATGGTCCTTGTGGCTTGTTGGTTACCCACAAGGCCTCACTCTCATTGCTTGACCAAGGAACAGCTTCTAAATGATACTAAGCTTT